GACCGAACCGAACCCGAACGGTTTCATAATTATATTTGGACCCGACGGGTCCATTTATTAAATACCCGAAAGTTTTGGGTCGGTTCGGGTCTCTTCAGAACCGAACCGAACCGACCCACGGACAGCCCTACTTGAAATATTATAAACATTTAGTGGCCGTTTATGAAATTAACATTTTATTCATTCCTACTCAAAAAATATATTCTTGCATATCTTTTTGTTTGTTTATTTTTCAGAAACGTTGTAAATTTGCAACTTTTGTTCTTTAGTGCTTATTGATGTGATGAAAAATATTATTTTATTGAAAAATGTGTGGTTGAAAATGAGAATTGATTTACTGTAGAATTTGAGAATAAAAAACAAACAGGCCGTTAATATTTTTTTTTCCCATTCACCTTTGAAACAATATTTTATAACATATTAAAGTGTTAAAATTCGATCATTATATTTTTCTTCACATATTATTCATATACAGCGATCTACCTGTCTACTTTATTGACCTACATTAAGAGAAAAATCCTACAAATTATAAAAGAGGGAGTACAGAAATATGGGTTTTAATTAGTTTAATACACAGTACACAAAATTTGTTGACTTGCTAAGAATTGAATCTTAATCCACAGACCTACTCAATCAAATCAAATGGTGATCTTATTGATACTAATGCACATAGCAATTACCAAAAAAAAAAATGTTAGTTTTTTTGGTTAGAGAATATTGAAGTAAAAGGAAAAATATTAGCTTCGACTTAGGAAAGAATACACTAGAAGCTAGAAACGCTATTGTTGTGGCACATGTACATGGATAAAGAGTTAAGACTCTAAAAATAGGTTCAACTGTAGTCATCATCAGTAACTTATACTTTATGAGCCTCGAATTGTCTTTTGCATCGAGTTCTCTATCGACCTAGTTTAGTTAGTTTAATTGTACCATTTCTATCTCCTCATTAGATGTTTAGATGATAACTAAAATTCAACGCTAACCACATTAGTAGTGAGGGAGTACAATTATTCACTTGAGAATACGTTCAAAAGGCACTTCCAATGAAGCGGAGGTACTATGTGTCCAATCATATAATGTCAAGACATATTTTGCATAAGGAAACTCGTGTCTAGTCAAGTGAAAGTACAAGAGATCAAATGAATACGTTCACTTGAATTACAAAATGAAATTAGGGAAGGCAATGAAATAGGACAACCTCACTTGCATATGAAATGCTAATATTATTTTTGAATAAAGTATATTAATAAATACTTGAACAGTTAGATGAGTATGTTCTACTATTGCATCTTCTGGGCATCATTAACATCAAAAATT